GTTTGTTGAGTTATTGCAATAACAAAGCCAATGGGAAGAGATGGAAGGAAGACAAGTGGACATAATGACTTACGTTTACTATTTGCACACTGTTTTATGTATGAATAAAGCAAAAAAAGACTTGATTATATGCCAATAGATTTGAAATAAGTGTGAGATGATTAATTTGCAATAAACAGAAAGAAAAACCTAAACCGGCCAAATATTAAAATCCTGACAATAAATGCTTTTGTCATATTGGTAAGAACCATTGTATACAAGTTTTACAAGTCGAAATTCGTTTGTCATTAAGTGATAATATTTTACTACAATGGTAATTAATGGGCTAAATTGTGATAAATTTTGTTGTGGTCGACGCCTTGATCTGTAGTTTGATGGTTTTCGGCCATTCTTGTCTGCCAATCCACTTCGGAGGCCATTTTCTTTTTTACCAATGCAAACAATAAACACGACTAATAAAATATCACACTGACCAATCACTGATGTTAGTAACCAATAAGCATCTGACAAATAAAAAGAGCAAAGATAGATGGACCAGAATGAATGGAAACCGACTAAATACTAAAGAAAATATTGAAGTCTATTCTAGATCAATCTGCCTGCCTTCGATAGTTTGGTCTGGCCATCTTTAGCAAAAGAGCAACTCTGGAGGACGCAGTGGGTTTTACAAATGTATAACACATATCTAAGATAAATAAAACACAGACCAACCACTAAATATGGGGAACAAAAATCCTCTGAAGGCCAAGGTACCGGCGATAGGAAACAATAAAGTAAGTGTGAGATGTTTTTCTTGATTTGAGGGCTGATCCACCTGGGCGATTTCGGCATATCCCTATCTTTAGTGATGCGGTTTTCAGGTTGAATTTTTCAAATATATAGAAAGAAATGACTAAAACGCGCCTGACAAACCGATACAGCGAGGACAGACCGGAACGATACGGTAATGGCCAAAATATTCACCAATCTCCAGATCTAAACAAAAGAAAATTCCTTTGGAATATGATGCTATTGAACTACAAGCATTTATCACCGTTCAGCATATTTTATGAAACTCAAATCAATGCGAGTTCTCCAGGTCTTCTAGGTGACGAAAATTTCGTTTGGTCTGAAAATAATAGGGCAGCCACTGAACGGCGAACAAAAATCGCCTAATGGCTTAGGCACCTATGATAGGACCAGTTAAATTGTGAGATATCTTTTAGTAAGTTTGTGGGGTGAGATAAATCTGTGGCTTCTTCGTAGTTCAACATTTCTAGCCTACTTGTCCTTGCGCGATTTTGGCCTGATCATCATCAGTGGAAATTTTTTTCAGGCAACTAGGGTTATGTAGTTGTATAAAAAAGACAATGCTGAGGTAAATAAAGCACAGACCAACCACTGAATTCGGCAAACAAAAAGCGTCTGAAGGCCAACGCATCTTTGGTAGGGTACAAAACGGTACATTGTGAGCTTTTTCGCGTTTTCCATCCACACTACTAAGGAAATAACGCACAGCCCAACCCCAAAGTTGGCGACTAAAACACGACTGAAAGACCAAAACAGACGGGATAGCCTGGTCGGACCGACGGAGAAACGCCTCTAGCATAAAACCATTGTCTTCACCCCGCAGACCTTAAAAGGAAACATTGCTTAAATATTTAAGTTGCTGAAAAAGAATCATTTTTCATAATTTACCAACATTTTAAAATGGAAATCAATGCAGGTTCTCCAGGTATGTTAGGGATTGACCTTGTTTGGTCTGGTCATCTCAGTGGCAGTTTTTTAAGGGTTATACGGGTGTATAAAAGTAACATGGTTAAAGCAAATGAAATATATATTAAACATTGAAGATGGCACCTACAACGCGTCTGACAGACCAAAAAACGATGATAGGCAGAGAAGAACGATAGAGAAACGTTCAATAACAGCATGTCATCACGCCGCAGACTTTAAGTTAAGACTTGTTTACTATTTAGTTCATCGGAATCAACGGAAGTTTTCGAGATCTGCTGATGAACCTTTCGTTTCGTTTGTCGATCATTCTAGTCTGCTTATCATCGCCATCATGGTCTAGCCAATTTCAGTGTTAGGCCCACCCCGAAAAAGCACCTGATAGACCAAACCAATGCAGATGGGAATAGGAGACCGAAGACGAACAACCTGCAGATGAAGAAATTGTGAAATTTCCTCTCCAAGTTTTCGGATTAATGAACCTGTTATTTGGTTTGTTTGTTATTTTAGGTTCATAAGAATCTAATAAGATTAAATTCATTTAAAACAGAATAAAACCAGATTATGGGACATGGAAATAAATGATAGATGTAGAACTTTCAGATCAAATAGCAAAGGAATTTCCCCACCAGGAAGATGGGAACCAAACTATAATGAAATGATTGAAAAAACTAGTTTTATTTCCATTGTAAAAATAAGCTATAAACTATGAAGTAGCTAGAAAATAGTAACAATGGGTAGTGGATCTTCCATCTTCATCTTCCACTTTTTGACGTTTATATATTGATTTCAGGCGGTAGAACAGTGATCTTGTCTGGACCAATTGGCCACCGATATGCTGCGACCACTTCCGTCGTGGTTCCGACCACCGCGTTCACCGGGCAACGTACGTACTTTACAGGTCCGAAAAAGGGTTCCGAGAATAGGCCGTCACCGGCTCATTAGCACTTCCTAGAGTTTTGAGGTTGTTTACCTTTGGTCGCGTCCCGGGCAAACGTGTCCTCGATATTTTTCGAGTTGCCCCGCGATTATAAAACGCGGCCGCCGTCAGTAGAAACGTTCCAGGTTGGGAAGACGTCTGGAGCCGGTGTCTCTCATTACTTGGCGCCCAGGGAGCCAAGGACGGGCCGCGGCATTTTCCCCCACGGATCCCGGCTCCTCCCTTCTACGGACACCTTTCGTCTTAACCCGATTAAATCTAACACGGACACGAGCCCGGTCCCAGTCTATTGTGCAAACTCGCCTTTTCTTTCTTTCGTTCTTTTTTTTACGTAACCTGTACATTTACACTTCCTATCTCTATGTATTTTCATAGCTAACGGTACAGCAAATAAACAGAGCAAACACTGAGCAATCATCGGTTTAGCTCTCCGAAGAAAACTATTCCCTTGTCAAAGAAAGTCTTCAAAAATGAAAAAAAAAAAAATAGAAAGTTCATTTGTGAACCTTTCGACCGAACCTTTGACTCACAAATAAAATATACTCAATAAGGATTTATCGTCCTCCATATTACGTATCACATTTTATAAGACCTCAATATCTAATCACAATTAAATCCAACAACACAATATTTTCCTCTTAATACAATTGTGAGATTTGTGGGCACTCTCAACACGACACGCAAGAATGGCACAATTACACAGAAGGCAAACACTTTGAGCCCTGAAGATGATCTCGATAAAGATCGAAACGTTGGCACGATAAAGAAAATGTTTTTCTGAAGCCTACATCACACCAGACCGCATCTCACGACTTCTGAATAACTGTGGGATTTTTTGATGGGATCTGCTGGGTGTTTAGGACGGGTCGTTTCCTATGATTGTGGCCCGCCTAACCTCGCTTTTTTGCTCCTTTTAGACTGACAGTTGTGAATTAAATTTAATTTCGTAAAATTTTGTATGAATGTAAATTACCGCGCAAACTGAACACTGAAGAATTTGACTTCTGAAAAATCTTCAGTGACTGGTCTGTGTAGCCTTTTCCCTTAAACATTTGGATAACCCCGAAGAAAAAAACTACCTCTGAGGATGATTCTGATCAGAACGGTCTATCAGCAACTTTTCGCTCTTTTTATCAGACCAATGGATAAACTACATGTGATTTGTCTTAGCCTCGATACTTTTGTATATTTGTATATACCTTAGAAACGAAAAACTACCCTTGGAGATGGCCAGACAAAAACAGCGAGGTAGACCAAAATGGTCAGAAACGACAGGTCCTTTACCCAGACGTCGACATCCTCCGTTGATTGCGAATTCATAAAATTTGTACTTCACCATCACTAAATTAATTGAAAAAATATGTCTTCTTGAAATCTTGGAGGTGATGAACCTGCAGTTTTGTGGTTTATCGAAAATTCTCGTATGGCTTTCCTCGCCGTTGTGGTTTATTACATTTCACTTTTCAAATATTTACTTTACGCCACACGATCCTTCAAAGGCAATGAGAACAATCCCTACAAGTGCACTAGAAACTCTGCTAAACCTACGTCGACTGGAAATATTTATACAAGGAGAGGCTAGGAAAAGCTCATTTCGGCTCCAAAAACAATTAATTTGGATAGGAACTAAACAATTCAGGCATGCAACTATAATTAACAAAATCAGACACCCATTCTTAGAAATGATACGGGAATCATTCTTCACAACATCCTATAAAGTCTGAACGGGTTATAAAGGAAAGGAACAACACAGGAGAGCATCAGATACAATGGTATAGTATACAGATGGCTCCAAAACAAACGAAGGAACCGGATCGGGTATTTACTGTACAAGTCAAAAACATGAGCCATCAAACTCAATAGGGAAGTACACTTCGGTCTTACAAGCAGAAATACATGCCATCAAAGCTTGTGCCCTAGAAAGTCTTAAAAGAGGTTACACTGACAAAAAAATCCTCATAAGATCTGATAGCCAGATAGCCAAACTGCCATTAAAGCATTAGCATGCAAAAGAATCACATGAAAATTAGTCAGTGAATACATCCAAAATCTCCAAAACCTGGGGAAACACAACAACCTGATGATATCTTGGGTACCAGGACGCAGGAGAATTTTGGGTAACGAAAAAGGAGACAGACTGGCCAGAGGAGGATCTGCAAGACCATAGGCCCTGAACCTATACTTGGGATAACAAAAACAAATATAGAATCCTCCCTCGCAGAATGGATCCAAGCAAAACAAAAGGAGAAGTGGATAAACTCTAGTGGTGCTAGACATAGTAAACTTATGATGAAACAACCCTCACCAAGACTGGCAAAATCACTGCTGCAACTGGAGAGAAACTCAGAGGATTGATAGGACTACTAACCGGTCGCTAGTAGACGGCCTCTGAGAAGACAACTACACAACATGGGCATATACAACGAAAATCCGATCTGCATATTATGTAATGAGGAGGAGGAAACAGCCCCCAATATCATCTTTGAATGCGAAGCAACAGCTCACTGGAGTTTTATCCTAACATACGAAAAAATCTGTGGGACAGTGGAATAGTAGAATGGAAGGAAACCCCAAACTAAACACTGCGAAATGACGCCAAGCGAAGGATCAAAAATAGCGAGAATAGGCCGACCGGACGATTTTTAACAAATCAGAAAAGGTTGTGTGAAGTATTGTCAAAATGAACCTATTAAAAAAACCATGATTTCCAATTCGAAATCCACACAGTAATACAACCTTTCACCAATACTTAACCAATTTAAGCTGCGGGCATTTTCTTTTTTTGTTTATTTTACTAATTCAACGTTGGATAAGGCCCAGTCACTAACCAAAATTTGATAAACTGAGAAACGGCAAAACAGGCGTCCGAAATAGCGAGAACATACGGACCAGGCGATAAAAAAAGACAAAAGTTCAACAACTCAGGCAGGTAAGACGGTGAACAATTACGTTTTTTACTGTTCACAAAAATAAGTAATTTATCAAGTATTTCAAATGAACTTGTTTTGCGAGAAGACGTAATAGCGACAGAATATAATAATAGTAACGACCTTTCACCAGTGATTAAGTTTTAAGCTCGGCCTGCCTGAATTTCAGGCAGATTAAGGACATTTTTGTAACGGAAATAACGCGGATAACTAAGTAACTAAATAGATTAAATAATTATAATTTAATTATAATTAAAAAAATCATAATTATAATTTAATCTAGACATGTTTTGCGTTCATAATTGATCATATTAATTATTATTTTCCCCCCGCTGGTGACAGTAACATTTTCATCACAACCAAGACCTGATATAGAAAGAATAATTAATTGAAATTAAAATTTAACTAATCACGAGGGAAACAATTCTTTTCAATAGTTACTACAAATCTACTGATTATTAGTTTTTAACCGCGTGCATTTCAGGATTATTTCGTATTTAAAACGATTAGAAAGCAAGAGAAATATCATTCAAGATTTGTCAAAATGAGTTTAAGGAATATTTACGTTTATTTTAAAACTAAAAGAAATCCGCACAAATTTATACGTCTGTAATATATATACTTCTGAAAGGATTGTCTGTGATCTCACCCCTTGTCAAAGGGTGAAGATAAGGTTGAAACGCGACGGATCAAAGTAGCGAGAATAAGCGGACCAGAAAGGTATTAAAATCTTGTCAAGGCGAAAATTTTTTAAGAAGAGGATAAACAATTCGATAAATTTCTAATCGATGGAATATTTTATCACTAATTTAAAAATATCCTAGAACGCAGAAGGCCCACCGAGAATACACAGGCCCAAAAGAGCGATCATTGCGGATCAGTTCAACATTTAAAAGAAGTTCATTTACCAGTGTTTGATTTCACGATTTTTCTTACAACAAAAAACAATTTTACCTCCTTACAAAAATAGACGTCAAATTAAGATACGGGTTTCAAAAACTATTGCCACTGTAATCGAGAGGTTCTGAAATTGTGCACACCTCGCAATTCTGCACTCAGGAGGGAAAAAAATGCAACCAGCGTCGTTTGATAACCGTGTCGACAGCTCATCAAAAACCCCGTGCGTTCCGGAAATAATCAATCACAAGGCGACGACAAGGCTGGAAAAGTAAGGAAAACAGCCTATGATTCAATTTTCTTGTCCTGGTGTCAGTTATAAAGAGAAATTATTTTTGAGGGTACACAATATTGCAGTAATGGCATGTGGTAAGTGGACAGATTTAAACAAAATTACAGCTTTTTATTAATTAAAGAAAATATCACTAGATGTTTGTAATCTAATAACTCCTCAGTTAAAGATTAATGGTTTAAAAAACTATAAAAATAGTCCTACCACATAAAAAGATAACTATACAAAGTTTCTGTTTACAGTACTTGGCACTTCTGGGACTGATTCGGTCTTTTAAAAAATTTGAAACCATTTATTAAAAATTTAATTATGTCAGTTTGTAGACACTTTTAAACTTGTTTTGCCCTGATGACTACCTGAAATATGCTGAAAGCTTGGCAGATAACAACTGACTTTGTTTTTTTTCTTCTAGAACATTTATTTATTTTAATAAGGTTGGGGGGGGGGCTGATGCAGAATTTTGGCAAGCCTTTCCTCCACTGCGACCTCCACTGTCGAGCCCCAATAGCATTAGCTATACCTTAAAGTGCTGTGTTCATTATATAACTGAGCAGTTTTCCTGGTGCATCTTAACGGACCACATTTGGTGTGAGGAATGTCCTACCAAGACACAAATGGTTAAGACGGCAGTGGCCGGTATAGAGGTCTATAATTTTCCTAAAAACCTGTGCGTTTGTCTAGTGTTTGAGTTTTCCTTTCTTAATCCATTTTTCCAGTTCCACCATAATTCCGGTACACCTCGTTGTGGTTCTAGTCCCATAGGTGAGAGGGCTGCCCTTTTTTTGGCTAGTTGGTCAGCTTGTTCATTTCCTTCTAAGCCTTCATGCCCGGGAAACTACTTTAAGGTTTCTTTTTAGGCGAGTCATTAGGCAGCCTAGGCACTGAAGACAAGTTTGGAGTTGAAAGCATACTAGTAACTTTAAGGTTGCCAGGCTGTCTGAGAGTACTCATATCTGTGCACTTTTCTTGCTTGGGAAACTGTTGGGGCTAGTCAAAGAGGCTGTAAGGACACGCCTTATGTCTATGCCTACTCCCTGTTCCATCTTCGATCTATCTATGTACCGTATTAAGAACCCTCCTTGAAAGTTTGGGACCACCTTTTTCCAAAGGTCTCTATTATCTATGTGTACTTGGAAGGATCTTTATCAGATACTGTTATAGCCATCTCATTTATTTTAATTCCATCTAGAATTTTGTGATGCCTCCTCTTTAGATCGGGTTTTATACTCTTGTATCGCAGGAGCCTGTTGACACTCTCAAAAGCCACCTTTTGTACATAAACATAGGGGTGGAAGGTCGAGTACTGTACTGGGGCATGCATTTTCCTTGGCATATTGGGACAAGCTCGTCTTGTACACTTTGAAGTTGATGTAGACCATACCGAGATTATTCGTCGATAAGAAATTTGGAAAAATCTTTTCCATCTTCGTTTTTTTTTGTTATTATTTCAAGTAGTCACAACAGATATTTTAATCTGGTTAAGGAAACAAATCTTAATGTAAGATTGAAAACTGATTCATTGAAATTTTTACCAATGTGGATATTCGCTGACGTTTGAAGATTGACAAAACCACAATTTTTTGGCTTAGACTATTGCAATCATTTTCTAACCACTTCAAAGTCTATTTTTTTTGGTCAATTTTTAATATTGTTTTAAAGTTTACGATGTGGTAAACCTGTAGCAAATACGATTCGTAATGACTATTCATGCCGGATTCGACTGTCATACTAATCAAACGTGATCAATCAGAGATAAACAGTAATTTACGGACCACTCGTCGTTCATCGAACGATGATAATTGGGTGATTAACTACCATATCGTAATACATATTTATCTATAAATCTATATATAAATTTTTAAAAAACTAGATAAACACATTTATCTAAATTTTCACCTCATATTTTTATTATTATTCGCTTCTTTCTTGTTCTTCTCTCTCTTTGATCTCCTTCTCCCTCCCTTACTCTCTATCCTTATTACTCTCTTACTCACTTTCTTTCTCTCAATATCTTATTCTTTCTCTCTGTTTCTAATACTCGCTCTCTCAATTTTCTTCTCTCTTTCTTACACTCTTACTCTCATTTTCACTCACGCACTCTCTTTCTTCTTTTTACTCTCTTACTCACTTTCTCGCTCTTAATATTTTATTTTTTCTTTTTGTTTCTAACTATCACTTACACAATGTTCCCTCTTTCTTTCTTCTTCTCTTACTCACTTTCTCTCCCTCAATTTCTTATTCTTTCTGTCTGTTTCTAACTCTCGCTCACTCAATTTTTCTCTCTCATCCTTACACTTTCACTCACTCACCCTCCCTCTCTTTCTCACTCTTTTTTACTCTCTTACTTTCTCTCCCTCAATTTCTTATTCTTTCTCTCTGTTTCTAACTCTCGCTCACTCAATTTCTCTCTCTCATCCTTACACTATCACTCACTCACCCTCCCTCTCTTTCTCTCTCTTTTTTACTCTCTTACTCACTTTCTCGCTCTTAATATTTCATTCTTTCTTTTTGTTTCTAACTATCCCTTACACAATTTTCCCTCTTTCTTTCTTATTCTCTTACTCATTTTCTCTCTCTCAATTTCTTATTCTTTCTTTCTGTTTCTAACTCTCGCTCACCCAATTTTCCTCTCTCTTTTTTGCTTTCTTACCCACTCTCTCTCTCACTCTCTCTCTCTCTCTCGTACTCTCTCTCTCTCTCTCTCCCTCCCTCCCTCTCTAATACTCTCTTACTCACTTTTTCGCTCTTAATTTTTTATTCTTTCTTTTTGTTTCTAACTAATCTAATCTCTCACACAATTTTCCCTCTTTCTTTCTTATTCTCTTACTCACTTTCTATTTCTCAATTTCTTATTCTTTCTCTGTGTTTCTAATTCTCGCTCACTAAATTTTCCTCTCTCTTTCTTACTTTCATTCACTCTCTCTCCTTCTCCTCTCTCTGTCTTTCCTCTCAACGTCTCTCCTTCCTTTGTCTTTCTTCTCACTGTCTCTCTCTCTCTCTACACTCTCTCTCTCTCTCTTTCTATCTCACACTCTTTCACTCTTCCTTTTTACTCGTCGTCTCTCTATCTATCTACTTATCTAGATATAAATCTCTTTCTCTATATTTCTTTTCCTCTCTCCCTACCACTTACTTTCTCTTCCTCGTTTCTCTAGCTTAGATCTATATCACATTATCTATCCGTTGACATTTTAATTTCAATTTCTTTTATAAGATAGATAAGGTAATACATATTGCTTAAAGGATTTAAATTATTTATAATCAACATGTACTTATATTTCACTGAAATTTCTATCTAATTTGGAAATAAACAAAAAATTGTTTTGTAGCAATTACTTTGCTGGTCGTGATCATCGGGCTGGACATGCTTGACAGGATGGTAAATAAAATAATTTACGGTAATTATATTTTTAATGCTGAAAGAGTTTGCATACCGGTGTACACTGGCATCTGATGCAGTACATGATGCCGAACGGAGGTCCCAAGTCCGCAAACCAAGTGCTCCCCAGCTCTCTCACTTCCCTCCCGTGCTGACATTCTGAAACGAAAAAAGGAACATTATAATAATTATAATTCAAGAGTAATAATAGCCCACGGGATCGAGACAGTTATCCTTGTCTTCCCGGAAAACATTCCTGGCTCCATTGACTTTTTTATTTATAAAGCAATTAATATTAGTTCGCCTCGGCAAGGATTGTACAAAATGTGGACAAGCTGGGCTATTCTGTTGGATAAATAGAACGCCCCTTTTGTTCACACCTCTCGCGATTCTGGCACTTATTTCGGGTTTACTTTTTACTTTCATAAATTCAAACTCCACGTGAACAACAATCTGATAAATATGGAAAAGTTGAGAATGTACAACCCGCCATCATCCACCCCTAGGGACAAAGTCATTTTATGCTGAATATACAAAACTGCATAATTTTTCCCTACCTAAGATTGTCACGTACAATTATTTAACTAAAGCTGTTTACTCTCGCAGACTGACTGGCAAATTCCTGGATTCCCTAATTTGCAACTCTTGAAATGTTTGAACTATTTCTGAACCGAACGTGGAAAACTGACCAAGATGAGTGACGAAAATTGGATAGTTCACTTAATATGGTAATTTTCGAAATTAATCGTATAATCCACGATGACGAGCAGACCAGTATAATCAATTTTTAAATACATAAAAAAACAGTAAAATTATTATTTGTGTGGTGAATTTAGCTCCAGTACAAGGAACTAAGGAGAGATACAAAATGCAAACAACACAATACCAAAGGAATTGCCTAAATTTTTATGAACAACAACGAAAATAGGCGGACCTGGATGGCGTTTAGAGCCAGTTTTAAATAATGGTAAAACAGGTAACAATTTTTAGTTCAACAAACTAACAAGTGTTGCTCAATTCCAGGTTATCCTCGCTGAGATGGTCTCTCGTATCGACATTTTACCATCTGAAGCGTTTGCTTGGTGACGATGCCACGGCCTACTTATAACCCTGACAAAAACTACAGTTTCATCAACTTGCATATCCCATGGTAAAAATTTCACAATAAACACGAATATACGAGAGAAGTGTAATTGTTATATGGAAAAATCTATATTTGGTCAGTTTTGCTGTTATGCTTGGTGTTTCCAATAATTTTGCCCACCTATCTTCCGTAATTAGATTTGACAGACATATTGGGGCTTCTCTTGTCATCTTCAGTTTTGCGTCAGGGATTGACAAACTAATAAAGCAAAAATATATATACCAAAAATGACGGAAAACGATCAAAAAACTGATTCACCACCCCGCCGACTTCGAGAATATCACACAAATGACCACCAACCCCAATAACGGAAAATCTGGTCCGAAAAAACTGTAGAATACTCACAGACCAACCGGTAAAACAATTAGAACTCTGAGTATGTTTGCACATTGCGTTATGAAATGGTCAAATACCTTGTACATAGGTAAAGGTTTCTCGAAAAATACAAAAATTCTTCTGAAAAATAGCAAAGACAGGCGGACGGCGTTGATCAGATTTACTTGATCTTTTGAATCACCAGCTGAGAAAATAGAAAACGTTATGTAGGTTTGTTTATTTACATGGCAAATCAAGTGATGCCGATCGCGAACATACATGCGAGACTTGGGTGAGAGTAAACATGCAGACATTCTCCCAAACGACCAAATTGTATAGCGATATTGAAATTAATCGTTTTTCATAAAAAATAATTATTGATATTTGGCGTCTCGTTAAATTTTTAAATTTTTTATTAAATCTATAATTCATTCTTTATCGATTGTACACCAAACAATCTCATCCGCCATCCTTTCTCATTTGGAATAAGATCAAAATAAAAGTAATTTTTGTCACAATTTAATCTATGCTTTGTTAATTAAGAAAGACCATGGGGACTTGAGTTTCAATGGTGAAGTCAGGTGCTCGGACTTGAAACGAAAACAAGCAGTAACTTTCGCGGTCTTTCGACTAATGCGCATGATTTGTTGAAGTCTTGCATTTTCAGACGAAGAAATTGGCAAAATGGCGAAGAATTTTTGTAATATTTGCAAAAAAATAAACATATCAAATTATAATGTAAAAATACGCTCGAGAATACATAAATAAGTTGAGGCTTATGACATAAAGTCAGTAAATTTACTTTTACACGGCACCCAATCGGGACAGCGTAAATGGACCAATACACTATTGCGCAATAAACGAATGAAAAACAGCGAGACTAGGCGGAAACTAATCATTAGTAATAAAGCTGAAGGCAGTCTACGTCAGTAAATTGGAGGTACCGTTACATGCTTAAAAATTCGAAAACGATTTAAAAACAAATCACCCCTGTCCCTGTATTTTCATCGAAGCACATGGTTATCGGGCATTATCAACCGGATATACGGATAAAATTAACCGGGTAGGGACAAGGATTATAACACGTCGTACCCATTATCGCAGAAGCCAAAAATAGAATTTGTCGGTTTGAGGAAGAAAAAACAGAACAGAAATTTATATTGCAAAAAAGTAACATAAACCTATCGTTTTCAGGGCTATCATAGAAGTAAACAGCGATAAAGTTATTATTGTCTTTATTGGCCGAATTTGTCCTTGATTCGTTGGGGATATTGCAAAGCGAAATCGTGATCACCCACACGTAACAAAGAAGAAAGATATGCCACTTTTTCGGGCAAAATCCTCTCATTATCCCCCCTCGGGGAGTTGGATTTTTGGGAATCCGGCAATTAAATTGATCGTAAATAATTCACATCCTGAGGAAAGGTCGTAGTGCGGGGTCGCCGATATCAGCCGAATTCTACAGGGTTTCAGGGCCAAAGGAAAAACAGACGAGTCTTAAAAATATGACGAAAATTTTAAATCGTTATCGTTGTTTGTGCCCGGTTCTGAAATCATTCCCGATTTTTCTGTCTTTCATTTTATATTTATCAAAGCCTATTACCTACTTACAAAATAGTTCATAAAAACTAAATTTTACGCAAAGAATCATATATATATATATATATATATATACTAATTTAAGTGTTTAATGATTTCTTTTAATAAAAGAATAATATAGTTTTTGCTATTCAGTACTTAATTTTACGTCAATATAATCGATATCAACCTTATTGTTTTAAAAAATAGTTGAGCTTGCTGAGGATGAATTCAGGCATTTTCCCCTTACAAAAAAAACGTCTCGGATATGTAACCTAACCGTCCGTAAACCTAACCCTAACCCTAAAGATAATCTAATCTACCCCTAACCTTAACATAACGCGTCCCTCGAACTCTAACCTTATCTAACCTAACCTAACCTCAACCCCTATCAACCCTAAAATATTATTTTCAGAAGAGTAATTGGGGAAAGAAAAAAATGCTTATATAGAATCTATTGATACAATGCTTGAATTTTAATTTTACAGATGTGAAAATCAAGCAATAATTTTAGAATCTTAGCGTTATTCTTTTGGTCAAAAAACAAGAATCTACCGACTTCCACTCAAGTCAGATAATTAAGACCTAAACGGAAACTGACTTGAAATCTCCAAACAGGACTTCAGAAACAACCGGTTAACAGAGGGTTTAGATAACTAGGAAGAAATTTAGGACATGAATTTCTTTTAACTGTTAAAACTCAACTAACCCTACTAAAGACAAGCTACTGTGAGCACTATGGACATGCCGTGGGGTTTCACCTTGCGAATTCTGCCAATTCCTGGACGATTGTCAAAACTCCTTAGTACGTCCTTAACCGTCACAAGGACTCAACTTCCCTTTTGTTAGGAAAGTGGTCAGATGTTCCCATGGGTGTTCAGATCCATGAGGATTTTTAACGTCCGGATATATCCCCGAGAGAACTTCTAAGACGTCCAGTGTTCTCAAAAAGAACACCAGGAAGATTTTACATGCGTGGACTTGTCACATTCCTTGGCTAGCGAGTTGGTTCAATGCTAACCAAGTTCAGAAGGTCCCTAAAAAGGGCACATCGATACATGTGCCTTGAAAAGCCTTTGAGCCGTAGAGAGAAGGCACTATCTCCGACTCCGGTTGGCCGGTACCCTCCAGCTAAGGTACAATTCGCAAACCACGACCAGCAAAGTGATCAGATACAGTTTCATGCCTCACCAAGCCCTCTATCCATTCTAACCCTATGGCAACTGTCTACACTTTTCTATCAGAGAACCCGCCCTATCGCCTTAATTACCTTAATTGCCTCGAAAATTTTGTTTTTATATATTTTTGTGGATAAAAGTACAATAATATTTACTGTATTTGTATAATATGTTGTATGTGTTAATTACGTTTTAATAAAAGGCATTCGGAGAATAGAAAATATTTTATAGAGCCGAAGGTCATGTGTTCGAATCCCGCTTGTAACTAACTTTTTCATTTCAATCAAGACCTTACGTAAAAAGAATAATTAATTGAAAGATGATTTAGCCAATTAGACCATTAAAAATAAATGGATTAATATTTTATAGAATTAAAATATTATAGCAATACTTGAGAGGTAATGAATTTTTTGATATAATAATGAATTGGGAATAAAGAAGAACAGAAATAGAATATTTGTTCTATAATAAACTTTACAGAACAACGGAATTTCAAAGACTTTTCAGTTTAAAACATCAGATGATTTTCTGCCTATCAAAATTCCATGTAAAATGTACGAAACAACAATGAATCTTAAGGATGATGATGTTCCCTCTAATTATTCGAAGATCGTGAGATTCGGTCTGGTGTGACGGAGGTTTTAGAAGAACATTTTCTTTATCGTTCCAACGTTTCGATCTTTATTTAGATCATCTTCAGTGCTCCACAGTGTGTACTCTCAACACGACACAAAAGAATGAGACAAATACGCAGAAAACAAACACTTTGAGCTCTGAAGATGATCTCAATAAAGATCGAAACGTTGGCACGATAAAGGAAAATGTTTTTCTAAAACCTACTTCACACCACATCGCATGTCACGATCTCCGAATAACCATTGACTAACGGTCACTAAGCACCACACGTTTCCTCTAATAATAATTTTTCTTTTAATTGATAGAAAAGAAAAACAAATTGTATCAATTTAGTCTCCAAATCTGACTCAACGAGCGATAGTTTGATATTTGTCAATAAAGTTCTTCTTGTGCATGTACTCAAGTTATTTAAGACAGGTTCTAGTCAATGGGTTGGTGTGATTTTTAATAAGACGTCTTATTTAACTAGCTTAATGTTTTATTTATTGTGAAATGTCATGCTATCACCTTGCTTCATGTCAAACAATTCAATTTCATTAGTTATATAGGTCTTTTTAAAGTCAGGAATTGAAAGTGTTTGTTTTCATTACAGAATAACGTCATCATTGACGCAATTTATTTCCATACAATCTCGCTCCTGAAGATCTGTATGCTCTGTTTGTATTTCTCTGATAACCTTTTTTCGTAGAATAGCGACGTTACTTCCATATGAAAATTATTTCTTCGAAATACAGTGGATGGATTTGAATTTAAATTACATCTTAGGAGCGGAAATTGTCGTTTCAACGTTAAATTTATATTCACTAGTGGTCCTCTTGGCCAATTAATATCTTTCAATTCATTATGGTTTTTAGTTGAGATAAAAAAGTCAGTGTCACGAGCGGGATTCGAACCCACGACCTTCGACTAGATACGCTGCTACTGTACCACTTGAGCTATCGTGACTTCGAAATTCAAAAGCTGGGGTTCAGATGGGAAGTTGATGTCTGAGTGGATCGAATACACGATAGCTCAAGTGGTAGAGCAGCGGCGTATCAAGCCGAAGGTCGTGTGTTCGAATCCCGCTCGTGACATTGACTTTTTATCTCAACTAATAACCTTAATTAATTGAAAGTTAAATTTATCTTTCTTTAAAAAAAGTGCATACATAAAATAATGACATATGTGATGTTTACACGATTGATTCGAGCGTTTTTTCAACATGCAAAAATTGATCGTAAACCGCTAGATAAATTAGGGCGAGAATTTTTTTAGAATGAAAAATATTTAAAAAATTTATCTCTTTTGACCCGTTTCCGA